GTTGATCCATTAATAGAATATTTAGAATTTCAGTTGAAGTGGATTAGGGATATTTATTTGACTTAAGATATTTTTATTCAAACGACACAAAAACACCCACAACGAGCGAGTTAACAAATAATGTTGTACAAGAGAATGTGTATGTTTAAGATAATGACTAATTTGAAAGATCTAAGCAATCAATGTTTAAGCGGATCCGTAAGATAATGGCGTAGACTGACACATAAATCAGTTCGATCATACAACCTCACTTCTACAAACATAAATATATACGTATAAAAGTATGATAAAATTATGATGGCTTGATGTAATACCATTCTGTCTGTCCACCAGATACGGTAATAGTTCAAAGATAAAGTAATTTGAACATGTATATACTTGTGTGTCTGTGTATGGGTTTATGTATAAATCATATTTTATGTGTTCCAGAAAAAATACATCAAGTTGAACAGAATGAAAACACCATAAAAAATTGCTTAGTTGAAATAATTAGTGTACACCCGTAAGAACAGTATGAAATTGAAATGTAATGATTTGTGTGAGTTGTATGTTTATTAATGAGGAATTCAAGTCAATAAACAAAATTTTAAGGTAAACAACTTCCCCAAAAACATGTTTTTAAAACTTTCATTTAAAAAGAATTATTTTAGCGTGCAGAGTGTCCGTCAATTGGGAGGTAGCATTGAAATGATATTTCCTACACCCAATTTAAATATTACCTATGAAACAAAAGTGTTATTCCCTCATTCGATGAACCCCTTCAATATTATGCGCCTTTTTAATGGTCACTCCTATTACTACTCACTCTTTTCCATTGCACCAATTTGATAGTCGCCCTTTTGCTCGTGCTCTTATGAGTGAATACTTTTGGGCTGGGTTAGACACTACTTCTCTCGTCTTAGCTGGAAATTTCGTTGGACAATTCCGAAATGGTTCACCCATACTCCTTCATGAATTCTAACGCCGTTCTATTAGCTAGGAAATAGTTCTCCACGTATGCAAGCCATAAAACATGATTGGGCGCTTTAAAGATAGGGTTGTAATATTTAATGATGTAAACCGATATAAAACTAATAGACTTGATATAATTTATCAGTATGAGGACTTGTGTAGATTATAGTATTTTAACAGTTGAGTTCATGAGTCTACCTAAGCTCTAAACCGCGCGCTCACGCAAGACCGAAGATCCTTGGTTCGAGTCTTGCGTACGAAATCGTGGATGCACACTGCTGAGGAACCCCATACTAGGACGAAACGGCTATCGAATGCTTCCATGTTCTCAGTGGCGATATAATTTAGTTGAATAACCATGTTGTGACTACCTAACCTATATTGTCTAACGTCGAAGTCACAACATTTTCTCTCTTGGCTTGCTTTATCGCGACGGTCTTAGTTTACCTCTCCGTAACAATCCTCGAAGAACGGACTTAACCTTACCATTAAAGCATATTTAATGCAAAGACAAAAGAATTACATTGAAATATATTTCCTACGTGATCGAGCTATGCAACCTTAATAACCTCGTCGCGTTGGTGTTCATTGACTTTACTTTTCATTTACCATTCAACGTCCAAATGTAAAACTTCTGAAGTAGGTTTCATACAGCTTAAAGTATCACATAATCGGATTTTAGCGTTATCCCTCTATCACTAAAGGAACAAGAATGATAACACCCACGGATTCCATGTTACAAGATTCACTAGGATTAAATTTTTCAAACATGTTCAACTGTAACGAATGAATATATGTTTAAATATAGAAAAAAAGCACCGGTAATAATAATAGTAATAACGAGCCCAACGAATTATACTGTAATACAAAATGAAATAGAATCACTCAACATATGCCAACCATTTAATTGTATAAATTAAGAGGTGAGATATCAATATTATTGTTGTCAATGTTAATTTATGTGTAAAAGTTAATCCATATAATTAAATGAAGTTTTTAAACTCTGTTCTTATTTAGTTTACTACTGTACTGCCGACAATATAGACCTTTTTCACTCCAAGTAATATCGATGCAGTAAACGAAATGTGTCCATTCACTATTACGTCTCTTATTGTATGTCTGCATTTACAAATTTATTAGAAATATGTTTACAAATCACACTTTCCCTGTAGCCGTTTTAAGGTTACTGCTGTTCCAAAGCCCGGATATATATATATATATATATATATATATATATATATATATACATTCTTCTCAGTATATGTTTTAAAGTTCTGGGCATTACCAGTTATTCGCTCCAACCTAACAAATTTCAAGTTAAGCAACTTTCGAAATAATTGTAAACATTTTCAGAATTTTATGCATTATTATTATTATTATTATTTTATTATTTTGCATAATTTGTTTTTGTTATTGTTACTATCAACCTAAATCGAATTATTGTTACAAGATATTACCAATTGTTATCGTTAATTGTAAATGTACAATACGATCCATTTTTATGCTTATAATGATGCAAATCGAAATGTATGAAATCACACCGTCTATTTATAGATTTCTAAATAAATTCATGAAAATAATCATTTGTTATTAGAATCATTAAACAAGATATTTTTTTATTTAGATCATGAATTGATCATTGTTAAACCACCAATGAAAAGCTGGAAGCACTGAACGGTCGTTTCGCCCTTGTTTGGGACTCCTCAGCAGTGTAAGTCCATGATCGCACACGCAGCAGTCGAACCCAGGACCTTTGGTCTTACGCGGACGCTTAATTTCTAGACCACTAAGCTGGCATCCAACGGCGTTAATGTCTAATTTCAACCAATCCATGATATTACGCAACTATATTCCATTGTTTGAGGTGGATAATTGTCTCACACCCAACACAGTGTCCCATACTAGGACACAACGGCCGTTCAGTTCTCCCAGGTTTTCAATTGTGATCTAACGTTGGTCGCTACATGATCTCAAAAATAAATCAATCTTCACAACCCTGTACACTAACAAGATATCTTGTTTTTCATAAGATTTCACTTAATCAAATTGGGAATTGTTTGTTTTATTTTTCGGAAAACATAAACCAATAAAAATTATGTTTCTTTTTACGAATGTACCAATCACATTGACATTATATGCAGTTGTAATGTTCCCACAGAATGAATTTGAAATTAGATGAGGTTCAAGCAGTCACGTACATAAAAGTATTTGAACTTAAGTTTACTTCTAACCTGTAAGTATGCTTTATACTGAACACAGTGTACCATGTACTAAGTTTCCGGATAGGAAAGCTGTATATAGGATACAATTTTATTTCACTAAAAATCAATAACTTGTTTTGTGAAGATGTCATATAATTTAACAGCTGTGTTTAAGTGTAGTTTTAAGCTGTACGTTACATTGTATTGATATAACGTCAAATGAAATGAAATTCACTGATCCATAGGTCTACGTTAATTCATGATTTGAAATACATATAAGTTTCCATAAGCTATGCAATTAGGGACGATACTTCACTGCTCTCCACTGACTAACGTTCGGTTTCCCAATGTTCTAGTCAGAATTCACCATCTAAGCAGGAATCTCATTAGATTCGGAAAAAAGTCAATCACCCAACAATGTATATTCAGTTTGCATCTCATTATTTCACAATTCAACTGATATTACTATACATAAATCACGAAATTCTAACTCAATTGCTGGATAGTGTTACGTTTACCACAAAACCTAAATGTCTTGAGTCCTATCAGGATTGAATATCCCTAATACTGTAAAATCTCAGAACTTAGAATAAAACCACTGTCCAGTGCTTCATCTGATTTCTATCGGTTCTTCAGCTAAAAATAGTTTGTAATAACAATAATCGTATTATAGTGTGATCATGTTTGTTTTTTTTATCATCTCAAGTAAATGATAAAAGTATGCAAATCGATCAACATTTTATTTTCTTATCGCTTTTTATTTCTGACCTCTATAATTAAAACAAGTCACTTTATGATACCCTAGATGTAGTGTTTTTTCGTTATACTTCTCTGCCGATGTAAGCTATTAATGCATTACTGTGTAATGATATTATGAAGCCATTAAGGTATATATACAGTGCTGATCAAACTACTTTCAGTCACGGTAATCTCAATGATATAATTGTTTTATGTTAGGCAGTAAACCCTATTTTCACGTAGGTTACATGTCGTTTGTCAATATGCTGTACCCTCATTTGAACAAGCCGATGCTTCTCACTGTATTCGAACCCGTGTCAACCCAGCTTCACAGTCTAAGACTTTACCATTGATCTAATAGTGTCACTACTAACCTCCTGCATGACAGATATTTCCATAGAGTAGTCGTTGAGTAGTAACAGCTAGAATGTTTGTCTAGTCCTTTGGTACCGACCAAATTCCATTAATCATTCTGCTTATCGACTCCTAGTCCATATGACATAACACTATATTTTGGTTTGTTATGTAGTTGAAAAGTATTGATGATGCAGCGTGGCGAATAGTGAAGAAGTATAACCTGTAAGGATACCATACGAAGAATTATTGTTCATATTTTTAATTCAGTAATTATTAGACGCTTAGACTCGTATTATTTTATTCTCCTATTTATAAGCTTTCATCCAACCCAGAAATCGTCACATATCTTATTGTTCCAGATTTACCATTAATTAATTAATTCCCCATATTGTATCACTTGTGTCCAGCTTAAATAAATATTGTGATTTTCTAGTTGTGTTGTTGTATGATCAGACATTCCAAATATGTTATTGTATGAGTTTTGAGTCATGATTGAACTGATTATAATAAAGAGAGGGAGATCATACAACCCCTTGCTGTTATTATGGCCTGACCACTCGAAACCCAATACAACCCAAATAATTTGTTTGCTTTTTTCAATGTAATAGTCGATATAAAGCCTTGCTTAATCCAGTTTAAATGTCAGTTTTTTTTCTTTTTAACTATGAATTTACTGGATTTAAGTAAGTATTAGCAGTATTCTACTGTACTATGCTTATTTCTCCTCTTCCACTCTCTCTTTTATCCACATAGATCGAAGGATTAGATATTTCGTTGATTGAAAATCCTGAAGATTATCCAACTGTTATCCATGGTACATATTTTCGTAATTGGGATTCAATACGTAGAGAGGGTTTAAAACGTATGCAACGTACTCATATACATTTTGCACCGGGTGAAGTTGGTGAAACTGGTGTGATTAGTGGTATGCGTTCAAGTGCTGAGATTATTATTTATATTGATCTAATTAAAGCAATAAATGATGGATATAAATTTTACTTATCAAAAAATAATGTTATTCTATGTGAAGGAAATAAAGAAGGTTGTTTACCGACGAAATATTTTCTTGCAGCTTATCAACGTAATCCACGTGAGTAAATTTCCATATATATATATATATATATATATATATATATATATATATATATATATATATATATATATATATATATAATTGTTTAATATATCACATGCTCTGCGACAATTGAGAATTTAGCCTATTCCCACCAAATAATAGGTCCATTAACACCATCATATTCGGTCTCAAGTTCGATTCCCTATTCTACTTAGGTCAGCTTTGGCAACGAATCTCATATATAAAGCGTGGCTCAAAGCCAACCTACATGGATTTCTAGTTGGTAGAATGAGTTACAGAAAATTATTTATAAAACTACACTAAATTCACCTGTTAGTAAACCCAACCACCAATCAAAGATAATCCCAGTAAAATAGCTCGGTTTTGTTTAAATCAGAAATTCGCTTGATTATAAGCATAAAATTCACGATCCTAACTTGCCATGAAATAATAAGTCTCAATAGGTAAACAGAAAAGAAATTTGTCATAGAAAATTACGTAATAGAAGTGTATCGCTAACTAACTGTAATTTATAAATAATGAAATAAATGAGATATCACTGAGGTCAATCAGTAGGTAAATACAGAACTTACAAGTAGAAAAATATTGAAATACCATAAACCAACTGTTTAATAGATAAGTATAGAAAGGTAAACAAACTGACTCCTCAAAAAAATGTTTTATAATTTCCATGATTTCCTTACCACGTTTCTTCCTCATAGGGAATCATTATTGTGTAATGTTTAGGCTAGATATACAGTACTTATGTTCTGATAGTAGATCAGTTGATGAGAGGAAGGAATATAGAACTTCGTTGACTCCAATATCATTTACACAGTTTCAGCAACTCCCTGTCCAGGCCTATAGAGCTCATTTACCAAATAAAAGCTTGAGTACTAGACTATGAGTTACACTTTTGGTGTAAGGTCTAACGACAATGTACTATTATTCAAAGCGTTCTAGGTGTCTAAGGATTTGAAGTCAGCACTTAATGGTTGGAAGCTGGGTACTTTAACTTCCAAACATCACTGCAGTTTGTTGTCCTTCCCAGCCTACTATGGGAATTAGTTAATTAATCCCACACAAACAAATCGGAAAGTCGATTGGATTATCGGAAGAAAATAAATTTAGTTAAAATATACAAGATTAGAACACCGAAGAAACCAAAGCAAACGGACACGCTGGCAGTTTACTTTAGTACAATTCATGCATATTAAGAACTTCAAGTCAACTATACTTTATGAATTAGACGAACGTATTACTAGTCTACTTTTGTACAGCTGCATTAGGGACATTCCCATCGGGAAACTCAGTAACAACTCAAAAGCATTGAGAACAATAATGAATATAAACCAGTATAAAACGTGAATAACAACACAAGTGTTTGTTACATGCATGTATAAAAAACATGAACCAGAGTATATACACTACATGTTACCTATACTAGCGTAGATGCTTCCTATCACAAGTATACGTTACTTACTTGCATATGTAGAATACATAGACCGAAGTCTATACACTACATAGTATACACATGGGTATGAGTGAGATTTGCTTTTGCTACTAATAGGTTGGAGTCCAACCCATTGACAGTGAGAAATGAATAATTTACTTGCGTTCAAATCATTTGATTAAATCTGTCTGTTGATGATCAACTTCACACCCATACCACAGACAAGTTTAAAGTCCTGTGCACTGGTTACAGCACAGTTTATGGCCATCACTATGGATTACACCGTATCTAACGGTCTTTCCTAGAGACAATTCATTCAGGCACCAAACGAAATAAATTCCTTTTTACGGTTCTACATTTTATAACCATCTTTATCACACACCACTTAAGTGTCCATATTTACGACAGAATGGGGGACTAGTACGATATCCATCCCTCACCTTAGCTCATGAAACAAAGTTCCGTCATCTTCGGGGCAACTTGAGGTGTCGGTTGGACTCTACTCCGTACCATAGAAGCGAATTGGAATAACATCCCAAATAGCTGGTTTTGACGATAAATCGCATAGTTAAAAACATAATCTCACTTTATATTCTTTCTTAGTAATCAATCCATAAAGTAATTGATTATTAGTATAAGTTGTGTAAAGATGTGACATACTTCTTGATTAATGTGAGAGATGGGAAGCTCTGTTTTTTTTTTGGAGGAATTTTATCCACGCACAATCCACTTTATTGTTTTGAAGAGCGCAAGAACATGTATTTTCTCAGAATAACATGAATTCATATTATTTCGAACGACTACTATTTAAATTAAGACTTTTATATAAATTAAATCATTCCCCAGGCATTTGAATTACGAACCACACTCTTAGTACGAGTACTGATAGTATACTACCTGGTTGCTTAAACCGAGGTAGGATTGTTCGAAGCTCGAAACCGGAACATATTGTTTGAAAGTCAAACTCCTTAGCCATTAAGCCACCACTTCAAGACTGCTTCTTATAAGCATGACAAAAATTCAATCTTAGTTCGATAATACCGCACACCATCGAATCAATAATATAATAATGAGAAGTTTATCAAGTCGTGTTCTGGTAGATATTTTTCTGAGTTAAAAATAGTTGTAGCAAAATTATTGACTCCGTTATGAATGATGATGAATTTATCATAAAATATTAATTTCCCTTTTAATTCCTTATATATTATAACTAGATTAACCCCATTCCGCAAAAATGATAATAAAAGCGATATATGAATTGAATTAGAATTTTATTTTAGACATTGATGTCCAAGCAGACATATGATAAAAATGAATAGAGCATAGTGTGGTCTATGATTACTGTTAATCAATCGATGTTTCATTAAGAGTTTTTCATCTTTCATGTTGGATAAAGAATATATCGCAAACAGGCGAATAGCTAGGTAACTAATCATTCTATAAATAACAATCGATATACGTACACACACAGTACATATAAGAACACTCTGAAGGTTAATATGTATGTTAACTTAACAAAAACAAATATGAATATACAGAGAAAATTCACGTGGGCATTGTAGTGTCTATATGAGCCTCTATATAATTAATAAAATGACAGAATATTCCAAATATTCTGGTTATATGTTTATTATATGCAACGATATACAACCCATTTATTAGAATTTTTCAACAAGACTCATAATAACATACAGTTTATTATGGAACATAAAAAGAACAATATGTTCCATTTCCTTAACGTTACCAATAACAAAAGAGACCAGTCGGTACAGTTCAGATATAAGCTGACAAAACCCTAATAAGGTCAAATGAATTCATGTTATTTTTCCTGTCTTCATTTTTACTCTCCTCAAGAAATGCAAAAGAGAAATATTGATCAGTTCTAACTGGATTCGAAAATTACTGTTAATAAACTCAGTTCTCTAGCTAACTGCTCTTCTCATGAAACATGAAGGGTGATGTGATGAATTTAAATCTCTGTGATACAATGGTACGGATGTACATTACTTATACTATGATCAAAACACATTTTTTCGTTTTATTATAGTTTAGATCACAGATTGATCTTAATTAGACAATCATTGAAAACCAAGATACATTGAACAGGTTGCTTATTTTAGTATGGAACGTCTCATTAGTGCATACTCATGATATAAGCTCATCAAAGGTCAAGGCCATTACCTTCAAGTCTTGCGATAAGCACTTAACTTTTAGACCACTAGGTTGGCGCCCAATTGTTTTTATTTCTAGTTTCAATCGATTCGCGATGTTGCGCAATTATCGTCCAATAATATTGCTAAGTAACTGCCTCGCTACCAGAAAGTTTGGACTTTAGTGATGATGGCTTCTTGCTATAACTCCGAGAATCCCTTCTAAAAATAGGTCGTTAGTGTGCATATTCTATCGTGTCTTGTTTTTTGGTATAACATTATGAAATGCCTGAGTATCTATCGTTAATTGCCTGTTCATCAAGATTATTTTTAAAGCCAAATTTGATATAGAATTGCGGAGATTGTTGGATTTTAGTGAAATTATGAACTTATCTAATTTAGAAGGCCATTGGAAACCAGGAAGCATTGAATGGCTGTTCTATTCTAGTATGATGCTTTACAACACTGCACATTGACGACCCCGCAACCAGGAATCAAACCCATGGGCCTTCAGTCTTGAGCTTCGACAGGTATTTTCCGGAGTCCTAGTGCGAAGCTGTTAGTAGTGGAATTCAAACGTGTCGGATATGCGACAGTTATTCAACTCAGGTAATGAAAGATGATGATGCAATATCGCGAATCGATTGAAGTTAGAGATTAACACCATTAGATGCCAGCTCAGTGGTTTAAAAGTTAAGGGTTCATGCGCAAGACAAAAATACGTGAGTTCGATTCCTTGTGGTAGGGTAATGGATTCACACTGCAGAAGAGTTTAGTACTAGGACGAAGCGGCTGTTCAGTGTTTCGGGGTTATTAATAATTGTCTAACTTTGACCTGTTCGTGATCTCAGCAAAATTTAATTCTTCTTGATAGACTACCTCAGCAAGTAGAGTAGCGAGTCCGAATAAATCTTATTATTTAAAAGAAACTTGCATAAAATTCATTGATATCATAGTTTTCCTATTGGATTGTGCCCGCTAACTATATGCTTCATTCTACAACTAAATTGTATTAATATGTATATACACTAAAATTGTTTGGTAACCCCCCCCCGCATAGAGTTCTTATATATTTCGTTAACCATCTATCAGAATTCTAGAAAGATCGGATAAGCACATGTACTATTCTATATTTTTATTGAACTTAAAAATTCATGCGATCTTATACATTAAATATGAGGTCACAATTGCAATTTGTATAAAGCTAGGTCATTTGTTGTGTAGAGCTAATTAACAGATATATGAATATTTAATTGTAATTCATGAACAGTAAGGGGTTTTTCAACACTTAATAAGTTAAATAAAAACTTGTAATCAAGGTAAAGATGTCATAAACCAATACATACATGTTATCATATATATATGTAGGTTGATACCCCAGAAGGTAGCTTTCCAAGTTTCACATTTTCATATTTATTCGTCACAATTTTAACAAATATAGTATTTCTTTGATTAGTTAGTTTTTATTATATTTTCAAAGTAGCTAAGTATGTTTCATAGGTTAACCGTATTGTGAAAGAAGTATTTCGTTGCAGTATATATATATATATATATATATATATATATATATATATATATATATATATATATATATATATATATAAACAAACTTATTATTCAAGGCTTCTTTGATCCACTTTTTTGACTTTGTAAATAATCCTAAACGTTAGATAAATCCCGTGACGAGATATGACCAGAGTTGACTGTATGTTCAAGGATTGACCTGTTTTACAGACTTAGATTTCATTTTTAAATAGTAATACAGAATAGCACTCATGTATGCATTTGATAAATCTACACTTTTTACAACCAATATAACCTGTTCCACATCAACAATTAAAATGAGAATTGCACACTGAGATAGCTCAAAGCAGTGATTGTTTTCCATCACAAAAATTATCGTTCAAGATTATTCACTAAGCCAAAAGAACTGTCTGAAAGAGTGTTTAAATTAGAAATTTGCACAATTCAAATCTGATCTCTTGTTTTATCAAGGCTCTAGCACCCATTTTCTAATTCAGTATATACTTTTAAGAGTTCGCTACTATCGATTATCTATTTACACATATGATTTTTATAAGTTTACGTCATGTAATCTATTGAGATAACAATTGTTATTATCGAAAGTACTACAAATTTTTGACTAATTAACACAATATCAATACTAAGCGGGTAGGATCTCAAACTATGTAGTTGAATAGTAACATAATTTCAAATCCGATAGTGGGTGTTCACACTCAACATCAAACCCTATAAAACCTTACAGTTTTTTTCAGATTATCTAATGGTTCACCATCAAGTTAAAATGGAATAATTTTCAAGTTTATGTTAATTTATAGAAAAGAAAAAGTTGTCCTCTAATTGAATCAAGTCATTACAAATCACTCAGTTGTTTGTTTACTAGTAAACTAACTTTGAAGTGAATTTTTTTTTAATTCTATTGAGAAGCCATGATACGAAGGAAGTTCAATAAATATATGAACTTCACAAGTGATTTCACCTCTATCATAGTTCACACAGAATAATGCCTTAGATGAGTTCAACCATCTTCCGGCAGTTACCAGATATATCTTACTATTTCTAACTATTTAACATGCTTTAGCTACCAGCTTTGACTACCCTGATGTTAAACTTTGTGAAATTTTACGCTTGAACGATTTACTCATATTCTTATAATCTATTAAAATAAATTGGTGTGTTTCCAAATTATAAGAAACCTATGGAAACCATGTCGTTAGTTATAAGATGAATGCTTCATAAAACATTTACAATCCTCTATTAGATGTCTTGTAAGATATATGATATTTTCCATTTAGCAGTGTTTATAGGCTAATCCACATAACAATTATGTAAAAGCTTCCCATTTACCTCATAATACATCTTCAACTTGATATTGATTTAACAATACAAACGAACAGTTATTAGGATGCGTAGTATCTCGAATCCGATGTAGATACACAAACTTCCTATATACAAACTCCCAACCAGTTACTGAGTGAGATCACTAAAATGGGAAAATACATTTATTGGACTAAACCGATTCACAAGCATAAGCGCTCATATATATGACAGTATTATTATATCTTAATGTTACTTTATAATATTAATTGAGATGAGATAAAATGCAAAATCATATTTAAGTTCAGTGTGATATTTCTGTGATATCTTTAATTTGAATATATAGTGTAATATTCATTTAGCGTAACTATTCTATTCAATTATTTTATTTGTAAAATTCTCAGTATTTTCATTTACACCTGATATTCATTAACTAATCATCCTATATCAGTACTCGTTTGTTTTTCTTGTTTGGAGGGGTAAATAATGTCTTCATATTACTATCTATTCTATATCTTCTATCTGCCGCTTAGTGCCAATTTCAATTCCCTGTTTCTTTTTTTAAAGTTGACTTTCCACATTTATAGCAGACAGTAGTATCAGGTCAAGTGATCTTGTGTAAATTATTTCACGTTCAATGTGATATTCATTATGGATTGATTTACTTTAAAATGAGTTAATGAAGTTTTATTAAAAAGTCGTGAATTTAATCATATCATGAGTAAAGCAATCGTTACTAAAAGAATTGGATAAGTACTGAATAATGTCACGAGTTAGTTGAAGCTACAAATGTAAACCATTAATTATCAATTTACTGGTTTCCAGAATAAACTCTCTTTTTTACTATGAAATCTGTAGATCTTGTAATCGATCCTTAGTGTGTTCTTAGGTAAATACCATTGAAGAATCATATACGACGATAAAATATCTGTCTAATATTTCCCTGTTTTTCAATAGCTTTACTGTTTAAGTACTTGACATTCAACCAAATGGGCCATGTGTGCGTGTTATCTTCTTCCCCTTTCACTGTGTACATCTTCAGTTTTCTCATGTTTCAAGTGTTATTTTTCAGCAGTTATATCGATATTTCTCTCTCTCTCTCTCTTTGTCATTACTCTGTATTGTTTATTGATCGTTTCTACTATTTATTTTGTACTTTTTATTTTTTTTCTGAATATATACATGTGCAAACATATATGAGGGTTTATGAATTGTGATGGCATATATAACTGTACTTATAGTTAAACTATAATACCAAGTATATTTTATGTATAAAATCACTTGTTGTCTAATTATATAATATCTAGTTGTATGTACTAAACTATAGAGAATATTTATTCTGTTTTTGTTTTTACACTTTTATTGATTTTAATTATGCACAAATTCATTTATTCATTTCTATGTTAATTTTGTTTAATCATAATAATAATAATAATAATAATAATAATAATAATAGTAATAATAATGATAATAATAATAATAAACAGCAATAAGAGGAATAAATACTTATTATATCATGTTATTATGACTTGATACATTCAACTACAAACTGTCTGTTTCTTCTTTCATATAAAGTTGTAGTTTGTTGTATCATTGATGAGTGATTGAACTATACAGAATTCTTAACTGTAATTTGTAGTCCTTAAGGAAGTCTTCTACTTTTAAGGTTTATATAGAAAACAAGAGGAAATATTTAGGACTTTATGACCTTGACAACCTGAAAAACATCTTAAGATTGGCAGTAAATTCAATAAAATGATTTCTAACGATGGTTTTGATTGATTGAAGTATGTTCAGCATTTTCTCAGATTCAGAAGACTTTTTAGATGACTTATCAAGAACATTTAAAACACATTGATCTAAGTCTTTATGTGATAAAATTGTCACTTTACAATTGTACCCTTTTATATTGTGTATTCTGAGATTCAATTCATGCTAACATTTGATTATCCAACTTTGTGGAAAGAGAAAACCGTGAAATTTTTTTTGATGGAGTTTCTCCGTATGTCAAGTACTTAAACAGTAGAGCTATTGAAAACAGGGGAATATCAGACAGATATTTCATCTTCGTATGAGAAATTCGAACGCTTCACTTCTATCTGAAGTTTGTGCTGATGATGTCGTTCAGAAGAACTATGAAAGCTCCACGGCCAAAACATCCAGTTCAGAGAACAAAACTCCATCAAAATCATCCACCTGAGCTACAAATCTCCTCCACCATCTCAAGTGTTATTTTTTTATAACTGAATAGTAACATTTACAATACTTCATCAGACAGACATGAACACGTAAAGAATAATAATAGCTTTGTTTAAATCAATAATACCCACACTGACTATACCCTGTCCAAACATATCACTACGGTGTGGCTTGAAGACACTATGTGACCTCTCCAACTTTACCCAACATATCACCTCAAGAAACTTCACAATATTATCTAAATCATGGACATTTGGATAATGCTATTTTGAAGATACATTGACTGAAGTAACATAGTGAATATTCCAATGATTACTACTTGTATATGTGTTATATAATATCCAACTTATTTTACACTGATTTGTTTATATTACTGTTCATTGTTTCTTTTTTTTTCTATATGCTTACAGGTCTTAAACTTTCACTCACTCCATAAAACAGCTGACTTGAATAAAGCTCCCGAATAAAGAACATACTTATATTTGTTGTGTATAAAATTGAAATTCCCATAAATATTCTGATACAAAAGTATAAAATTTAGTCACTACAATTATATCGTGATTATGTTTACTTCCAGTTTCAACTGTTCAGCTCTACGTTATGCACTACACTTCAACAGCCCACTTTCATCCATTTATCTGTATCTTTTGTTCTTTGTTATATAATATTATAAACTACTTTTCTCTAAACAAGTAGTTTGTTGTTTTAAAGACTATTTTATTTTATTTTTCAGATAGATATTCAGATTCGTTTGACTAATTTTTGACTTTTTGGTTTGCTATTGTATAACACCTATATATATATATATGATTTTTTTACATTTGGATTTTACTGAGCTGCATATTCTTATGCGTATTACATGGAATTGTACACATTTGAATTACTATATTATAAAGAGCTATTATCAGTCATAGGTGTTTTTACTCTACGTTATATCTGGTTTACATATTTTGGGTGGGGAAAAACTTGTGTTGATACATTGTTTCCTGTTTATATTCTCCGCTTATATTGCTGCCATAAAATATCTGTCAATTTGAACCACTGTACCACACCGTCAATTCTATATAATAATGCTTTGTAGACACATCCAGTGTAAGGAAGTTATCACTTAATGATACTTGGTTCTGATCGCACATTATATCTACAGTTGACTGAAGTAGGAAATATGAATCGTTGCTGGTTGTAAACTCAATGATCTCAAGGTAACGCAACTAGTATGATGCCTGGTGGTTGTCCTGAGTCCTACTTTTAGCGGGGTATTGTATCCACACCTAAGGAGTATAGTACTCGGACGAAGTATTCACTCAGTGACCCTTGGTTTTCTAGTGATTCTCCTGTTATATCCAATCTCATATACTTCATGATTGAAGTCTTTCATTCGGTTTATTTTTCCTTATCGTGTATTAGTTTAAGCTAACTGGCAAGGATCGTATTCAAACGTCGATGGGGTCGTGGACGGGCACTGATGTGAGGTCCTATGCTAGGATGAAAAAACTGTTCAGTCATTTCAGGTTTAACTGAGATTAGTCAGTGGTTCAAACTGCAATGTCCAACAGTCGCTAAAAACCGCTTATACTGATATTTAATTAGTCGTTACCTACATCTTATCGTAATAGGACGACTATCTTCTAGCCATTACATTAATTGATTCAGAGTTCCCAACACTCCTCTGAATAATATTTGTGCAGCTATATCAAAATGTCTAGTTCAAAGTTAAGTAAATATGACCTGTATAGCATTATCAGGTCCCACCATAATAATAAGTTCAACTCCATGAAGTGTAGGAAACTGTCGATATTGTAATGAATGGTCTAAAAATTATCTACAGTGAAGGTACTTCAGATCAATAAATCTATTAGCCGGACAGTCCACTCACACTGACCTAGCTGACGATCGAATTCCTCGCATCAATGTAGTAGTATTAATGATGATAGTTATTACTATAGATTTATGCAATACTTTAAATTTCGTAACAGTAAGGAAATCTTAATACTAACTATGGAATATTGTGATGAAGTTCCCTTTAACGTACGTTCAATATGTAATTATCCCTGTAAATATGTAACTTGCAAAATGTTTTTAACAGTCAATATCCGCCACTGGTCTATTACTTTAGCTGCTAAGATTTTTTCACCCACCAGAGATATTCATTGAATGAATTCCAATATAGTCAACTCTCTTCTCTACAAACAATAAACTAGGAGAGAAAAATGCCAAAAACTATAATGTTTCTGTTAAAGTCTTCTAGTATATGCCATTGTAAGAAGTTGTAAGGTTTACGGTTAGCAAATCCAAAAATAGCAAGTTTTATTGAATTATATGCACAATTTAGAAAATAGGTATCCTTAACTTGTATGGAGTTGACCGACATAGATAGCATCCAATTACTAACGATATTCAATAACATATTTAGGACAGTAAGAGTTATCATTTTGATGGAGAAACTGAGTCAAGTGAAATTTATCTGTTTGAGACCTAATCATAGATCAATCAAAAATAAACAGAATCAAAGATATAGAGCACTAAACAACTGTTTTGCACACTCACTGTGCTATCACAGTTCGAATCGGGGTTATCATCGATCTATGATAAATACGACCTATAGATTTAACTAATCTCCACAAAAATAATTGAAAGCCAAAAATCAATATGGACTATCACTCAAAGTTATATTAAGTTAATACCGTTTACAGTCCAACGGGAATTTGATGGAGATTTGTTTTTATACAGAGTAGTAATAGTAATTAGGGTAGTTGCATAAATATGTGCACTATTCTCAAGTGCTTTTTATAGAAAAATTGTCCAATGAAATATAATAACAATAACTGTAACATAGATACATAAAAACCGTGTATTTTCAACCACAGCTTTCAGTTGTGTATCATTTATTTATATTATATTATATTATATTATATATATATATATATATATATATATATATATATATATATATTTGTAGGTTATATTTATCACAAATCAATTTCAGTTTTGATACCATTGAATTGATGTCTAATCGTACAATTTCATCTTCAGTCGGTTTTCAACATAACACCATGATTATTTAATAGGAGTGGTTACAGCTGTTTAACACTCAACAAATATGAGTCCACCATCCAGGACTTTTCACTGGAATTTCAGGAACATCCTGAAGTGAATTAATAATGAGATAACTTTTATAATCTATTTAAAAGAGATTATGGAGATTGGTTTAATTTATTCGCATCAGCGGCAGTGAATGATTGTCATACTATACCTTGAATCAATTAAAGGTGAAATTCTGTCGGATGCCAATTCAGTGGTTCTAATACTTAAGCACTTGTTGTGAGACATGAAGTTCCTGGGTCCAACTCCTGGCTGTAGTTTGTAAGTTTGGACTGTTGAAGAGTACTATCTGAGTACTTCTTTGATCTCGATGGTAAACTGTATGAGATTAATCTGTGAAGAATTCGACCTAAGAATTTGATTGAATTCATCCCGACCTTCCTAAAACCCTTTCAATTATGTACAGATTCGTTGAAACCCATCTTAAAATATTTAGTGTTTTCTTTCTCTCAAATCAACTTATTTTGCTCTTCCAAACAGTCTACTTTCGTTATGTTAGATGATTTATAAAGAACACTTCAATTTGAATGTCGTTGGTTTGAACCTATATGAAATCCTCTTGCGTTTTACCTTAATGGTTATCAAGCTTAGGATGAAACAGTCGTCTAATACTGTGTGTTTTGTAATCAATTTTTTATAACTCATATGAGCCCATAACTGAAATTGTAGTCAGTCTGTTTTGCATTACTTGAACTATGATCTTGGCTACAACATTTACATCGCCATGTGTTTTTCATATACCTACTTGTTTTCTACAAAGTGTCCGGTTACTTAGTCGACAAATAACCACATTTACAGGAAAGTGATTTCTTAGAGATTGTATTATTGACTTCATCTTGTAAATCCCTTCTTCATTTAATTCATTATTTATTGATTAATGAAAGCTGGATAAGAACTAAAGGACTAAAGTTTTCCCTTCCAATTGTCTGTTAAGAACATGTCAAAATGCATAACGAAACTGCAATAAAAGTTGAGAATCGCAATGAAAATTACATTCTAATATATAATACAGGAAACTGAGTAGATGTTTCGTCCTAGTGTGAGATTACTTGGAATTTACACATCCATGATCTACAACTAGGAATTGAAACGAGGATTGATATGTACTTAGACATTAAACCAAAAGGCCAATAATGGAATGGTACATGTTTCCAGCTTCAACCAGTTTATAAGATAAAATAACAATCATTCAATACTATTGGAGATGACTACTTCACTTTTGACATGATTGAACACCACTGTTATCAAAACGTTGCATTAGAATTTCAAGAGTTCATTACCAAGTAAGTCAATAATACTTAAGAATTTCTGTAAAAATCAAACTATTATTTAACCTTCACAGACCTTATCCATTTGTTTTACTGTATTGACAATAGATTCAGAACGAAATGTATTTGATACGGTAAGTGAAGCTAAACAAATCACTCTCTGCCTTAAGATTATACAACTGTAATATATATTATTGGGGGAGCTACCATGAAGAGATAAACTATTCATCTGCCTATAATCATTGCTCATATCATCTTCTATGTAACAGTTCAGTTAAATACTGCTTTCGGTTTTATGTAATAATTTCGTCCTATCAATCTACATCTTTCATCACTGCACAAATAGATGATCACGCATTAGGAAAGTGTATAATGAAAAAAGTAAACTGAAGAATATAACAATTCCATATTAACGGTAGTAGTGTAGTGAATAAAACACCAGTGGGGACAATCCAATGTGATCAACAACCAAACTAGTTAGTAAAATCAAACAACCATATATTGAATCGTTAATTTGCAAATTCTTCATCAATTGTCTCAAATCACTCAGAATCCCCTTGTTCTTCCATTTTCATACAAATTGCCTTCTGTCTTCATTCTTTATTGTTCGATCTTCTTATCTCTCTGCCCCCAGACATTCTGTTCATTGCTCACGTCATATACTACTTATGTCTACATAAGTAGCACACACCACAGTAGTAGTGTATGTATTGGTGTTTTTGTGGTAGTATTAAAATATTAAGTAAAAGATGTCTCTGGAGTTAATGGTTCACAGGTACTGACAGCATTTAGAAAGACACAACATTGAACTCATAATCTTTTTTAGATATTTTAACAGCAACCAATAATGCATAACACTATTGCTCAGTGTTGTATCAGAAATTTTATATATCTATCGCAAACTATAAGATGCATTGCATAGTTGTCTTGTATTTTATTTGCATAATCATATGAGTTATGCGTCTGAATAATCAAACGGTACTAATATCATTCGTTTAAATTAATGATGTTCTGATATATTCATCATTTGTGTATAAAAAGTACAGTAATAGAGTTGATCAATTCAATTTATAGTATTATATTTGAATACATAATAGAAACTATTTTAAAGATGAGACTGAGTAAAATTCTTTGAGATACCAATAAACCAAAAAAATTAACTTAATTGGTAACTATAAGCATGACTCTTATCATTTGTTCCAATAATAATTATGATCAAATAATTAGTACTAATTATTATCATTGTTTCCAGATCATATGTCACACTGATCTATTAAAAGGAACCTAGTTTTAAAAAGTCATATAGTTTGTTTATTTGTTTGCAATAATGTTTGTTCCAAATCATAAAAAAAGCACATGACCACAAAAATTCTTTGACAAAGTTTGCCTACTCATAAGTAGTCAAAATGATATAGCTAAAATGTCAATCATAAGCTTTTGAATCAAAAAAATTTCAATGAAGCAAAAATGAACATTAAATAAATTTTAAGAAGCGCCTTGTTTGTGGATCATGAACGATAACTAAATCAAACAATAAAGT